CTTTCGTTGATGACCACAGTATTAGTTCCCGATCCACCTGACGCTTGGTTTGTGTTGTTACTACTGGTAGTGCTGTCTCCATTAGTGCTGGAGCTGCTGGTTGTCGTGGAATTACTGGAACTGGTTCCAGAAGAACCAGAATCATTGCTAATTGGATACAAGCTGGAGAATGATGTATCTAGCAACATAACAGAAAACGTTTAATAACGATAGGCATCAAACAGCTACTATAACAAGTCTTACCATCGAGAACGCAGGCAGAGACACTGCTTGAAATCGTTGTGACCGTGCCTGATACGCTTGAGCAGTCATCCTCGTCCAAACTGACAGTGAGACTCAGTTGTGCAGTCTTCAGTACGTCGACGTCGGATTCTCGCACGACAAAGTTTGTAACAGTAGTTCCTCCCAACGTCCTAAAGTGATGCAAGTGATGTCAGTTATGTTAACATACTGGTGCATTGCGACGAGCGTACATTGTCTTGAGTTTCGATGGGAATGTTACACCCACGATCTCTGTGATTCGGCAGTCGCTGCATTCTCTGTTAGTCACATACAAACATTAGTTAATAACCTCCCTAGTTAATACAGAAGTGAAAAAAAAAAACTCACATTAACTGCAGGCTGTCAGGAAACACTGCGCCTTTCAGAGTCGTGAGCTGTTGGTTCCCGTTAAGATACAAATTCTGCAGCTCCGATGAGAAACGGAACTTGGCCAGCGACGTGATCGAGTTCTTGCGTAGATACAGCCTCTGCAAGCCATCGGGGAAGTTTGATGCGCTCGTAGATGTGAGTGCGTTGAGATCCAACGTGCTGCAGTATCAACCACACAATCTCGATAAGCAAATCAAAGCACCGACAAACTAGTGAAATATCCAAAGATCCAAACCACGTACAGTAACAGCACACTCGATGGGAACTCCAAGCCATCCAGTGACGTCAACTGGTTGCTCGTAATATCCCTGGAATCCACGTATACTTGTCAGCATGCTACGCATCAGATACTGTACATCTCTCCAGTCTCACGTACACTTCCGTCACCGACGTTCCCACCGCCTTGAACGTCTTGATCTTGTTATTCCACAGCCATCTGCAGTATCAATACAGATAAGTCTCCGGTCTCTTATAGCCATCCATTCCATCTTAACGTACAAACTCGCGACTTCCGGGTAGCTCTCGACGACCTCAATGTCCACGTAGCTGGCGTTGATCCTGTACGAGCCCGGATCCTCTGATTCGGTTGCTTCGATCGTGACTTCATCGCAGTCGGAGTTCTTTACGAGAATAGCCACGTCGTTCGCTCCATCCGCTGCTGCGGCCAGCGTGACTTCGGACGGCGGCGCGATACCCGATTCCGGACACGTTGTCGCGGCATGGAGCCCTAAGGGTAGAGCGCAAGTGGCCACCCAGACCCACCACAGTCTCATGACGGTGGACACGTTACAAAACGCTTGGAAACGAATGAGCTGACGGTATATCGGAGACTGAGCGCAACTGTGTAAAAGAGCACGTTGCGCTAGCTAACAATTGACAGTGTGTGCAGTCACGATGGGAGGACGAAGTGATATCCCACCGAATCAGCTGTTCGAACGGCTTGCCCGAAGGTCAGACGCTCCAGAAGAGCTTCTTCAGTAGAGAATCTCCACCCAGCGTGGCCGTTGTAGTAACCTGGATACCTCAACCAGATTTTCAGAGCTCAACGACACCGTAATGGTTATTGATCGACTTCGATACATGTACGTCTTAGGATACTTAACTACGAAATCTCTGCTCGGGAGCCCAAGGCTGAATGGATAGCCATTCGCGTGCTGATCGTTTGATGAGGCAACTACAGGATCTTTTTTCTCGTTCCTGCAGTGCAACGGTGGAAGTTTTGCCACGTACTTACGTAATATGTCAGCTGAATTCCAAGTTGTGAGTCGCAGCTTTCGACCGACTCGGCTCAGAACTGAACTTTCGTCATGATAAAGTAGTTGACTCTATTTCTCACTTGTTACAATGCTCTGCTGGCTTTTGATCCCAACGCCGTGGCCTTTTACATAGATGATCACACATAGTACTTCACATGGTCCCGCCGTTCGTTCGATAGCAGAGCGATGTCGTCGTCCTCGATCAGCACAATGTGCGGCTCCGAGTGTTTCCGATGCTCTTGCTTGTACGTCGGTCGCCGCGGCGGTTTGCAGTTGTTCCGAGGCACCGACATGGCTCGATTTGCCAGTCGACCGGTAATCGCCAGGTCATCCAGTGCCAGCTCCAGGTTGCGTAGCTCGAAGTGGAGCTGCAGCGCCGACGGGCGATTCCTGGGATCGGCATCCAGACACTTGGCCACCAGGTCTCTCAC